AGCCTTCCCCATGATGTGGGGCCCAACAGGTAACCATTTGAGGGGAGGGGGCTGTCGTTCCATTTGGATCTCAGAGAACTGGGCATTCTCCAGGTCCTTCCAGGTCTCTCTGGTAAGGTAGCAGCCATCCCCAATGTGCTTCCAGGTGGGCTCAAAAACTTGCTGCCACATGAAGGCCTGGCTTCCTCTTGGATAAGCCACGTGCTCCCAGAATAACAGCACTCCTCCCTGGGAGGGAGGAGAGGGTCAGTGTCACTAGCTGCTCCATCCTGCTCCTTCCTTCTATCATCACCTCCTTCCCTCTGATCAAGCCTGGCCAAATCTCTTAGTGAAGTGGGAGCAGCTGGTCTGAGAGTTTATGGAGCAAACTGCTGCTCTGACATTTTCTGCACCCCCTGCTCCTACCCTCCCTCAAGGGGCCTGTGAAGAACCTCTTGTAACTGAGGGGGAAATGACTGCTGAGAGATCTTTAAAGAAGGTCCAGAGGGCAGACAGAGGGTGACTAAGAAACAAGGGCAGATGGCTCTCTATATGCACCAGGCCTCTCTATCAAGACTCAGGTGCGTGCCATAGCTGTTCCTGACGTCTCCTCCAACATCCCAGGGAAACCTCAGACCCTGCCCGATAACCACAGGGGGTTTCTCCAGCTCTTCTCTTCCCACTCCCTCCCCTAGTGATTCACTCACCCCTGAGTTCTTAATTAGCAGCTGCAAGCTGGCGATGTCCAACTCTCTATCTCCACGCTGCATCTTTTCCTGCCTCCAGTTCTAGCCCTCTAACAGCCCACATGGCTTCTTGCTTGGCTGTCTCAGCAGCTCCTGGGACCTAACAAGTCCCAAACAGTGTTCCTCCATTCCAGCAAATGGTCTAGCACCCATTATCCCTTCAGTTGCTCATGCCAGAAACTTGGAAACTGTCCTAAACTCCCCTCTCTCTATGCACCGCTTGAAATATTATGGATTTAAAAAATGTGTGGATTCTACTCCCCCTAATATCTCTACTGGCACACTTATTTCCCCACCCTCCATGTCCTGTTTAATTCCTTTGATCTCAATTTAAACTTCACTTCCTTAGGTGACTTCTCCACCTCCCTCCACTTCCTGTTAGGTGACTCTCCTGTCTGCCCCAACAGCATCCTCTTGCGTCCACCATGGTCACTCTTATTCAGCAGCAGGTGGCGGTGGTAGGGTGTCTAATGTACTAGTACCTCAGTTCCCCCTCCTGGGGCCCTGGAACTCTGGGGTGGCCAATGCTGTTTGCCTGCCCCAGGCCCCCGTCCTTCCCACTCTGCTCACCGGCCTCAGCACTCTGTGGACTTCCTGCAGGACCCTCTTTGGACTCTGCACAGAGCAGAGCACCAGAGTGCAGACCACCACGTCCATGGAACCATCAGCCACTTGTTTCATGTCCTCTCCAGGGGCCACCACAAACCGCTCATATTGGAGGTGCCTGTTCTCAGCCATGCTCCTTTTCAGGAACTTCTCAAAGTGGGGATTTGGGTCCAGGCAGGTGATCCTGCAGCCAGCAGGATAGAACTGGAAGTTGGCACCAGTGCCACAGCCCAGCTCCAGCAG